CTCAATTACATGTCACCCCCATAAATGTTCATTGGAAATTAGTTGCAGAAAGGAAGCCATGAGGCTGAACAGATATACATGATTTTTAGATAAAGGTCACTTCAGCACATTGCTCCCTGAGGGGCCAGATGGAAGTTACCTGGGGTGGGAGACAGGCAGCCCTGGATCGCTGTCCTAGCTATACTATTAGGTAAATGTGGAACAGGGACAAATTGCTCACCTGCTTTGACTCCCAGTTTCCTCATCTGTAAAATGAAGAGGAGACTTAGACACCTGTAAGGTCTATTCCAAGATGAATAGTCTAGAATTCTAGTTGCCTGACTCTAAGAACTCACTGATAGGTGGGATTGATGCTGGAAAGAACAAAAACCACAGTGGTGAACCTAAAATAAATCTGGGGCCAGGAGGAGAAAAGTTCCTCCTCTCCTAATCCCAAACCCTGAATGGCTTTGCCACCCCTTTTAAAAGTGGAAGCATTCTGGATACCAAAGGGGGACTCCCACCCCAGGACTCTGAACTGGTAGTAAATTGCCTGCTTCCTATGAGGGGAAAGCGTGGTATGAAAATGGGAAGCCCCAGCACGGCCCTGCCCCAGCTCTGTACCACGGATCTTAAAGGCCTGGTGCCTGTTGAGAAGAAGAGATGTTTCTGCCTTTCCTAAGCACAAACAGTTGTCACAAGCCAAGTCAGGAGAGTGAGAACAAGCACCCCTGTGCTTTTAATACACAGCAGTCCTCTAGTTGGCTGGGTAAGTCCCAGGGTTTCAGACCACTGGGCTAGAATTTCAGGATCATCAGGATATTTCCATTCATCCTCCCACCTGGAAAAACACAACGTGCTAGTTTCCCACCAACCAGTGAGACAGTGGTTTTATAACCCCTAGAGGAGCCTGACACTGCTGTTCACTCAAACAGCTACTGTAGCCCAGTATATCTGCACATGACAGTGGAGTCTAAAGAGGTCCCCTTCCCATGGAGATACACTTAGTTCTCCTATCAAGTTTGGCAGCCCCAGTCCAAGTTGGAAAAAAGGGAAAACTTGACTCAAGGATCCCACTGGGGAACGGGTCTCCTACATAGCCCCGCTGGTTCTCTCACTCATTACCCTCCACCAGAAGCCCCACATGTTCCTCTCCCTCCTCTCAGCCATTGCATATGCTATTTCTTCAGCCTGAAATGCCACTTCAGCCCTTTCTGATGTGCTTAGCCCCAAGGGCAAGAGTCTCCTGAAATTCAGATTTCACATCCCCAAGCCTGGGAAATGGCAGGGAGTTGGAAACAAGAGGTCTTTGTTGCAAAAAAAATGGCCTTGCAAGTTCAGGGGCTATACTTCTAAGCTTAAAGCTCATCAGATCTTCCAATATGGGCTATAAAGTTCTCACACCATAAAATTATAGCCATTTTGTAGCAGAAAGGGACACATAGATTATCTAATCCCACGTAAGCTTGCTACAGAAGAAAAGATTAAGGAAGTACAGAGACATGTAACAACTTGCTCACTGTCACACAATTAATTTATGACCAAGTCAGGATTATAATTAGAGCTGCTACTCAAAAGTAAGATGAAAAAATCATTCATCAGCACTAATCACATTCCAAACATCTGTTGATTTGTATAAATGATTTTCAGAAATTATTGGAATAATTATTTGTTTTATTTGGACGTCACTAGCTAAATAGTATTTCGGAGCCATGATCTGGACATAAGAAACTGCCTCAAATTCTTCCAATTACTTACCCACTGGATTAATGATAACTAGGTTCCAGTTCCCGGTGCACTGTTGCAGCTGGAAGGTAGCTGAGAACACTGCCCACAATTCAGGACTGTGTACATACACCTGCATGTCAGCATTTCCCACGGAGACCTGCGTAGCCTACCCTGCAGCCCACTGACAATGCTGCCTTTACCGCCGTTACTGGAAATGCCACTAACACCATCTGCCTCACTGCCTACTTTGCCAAAACTCAGATGATTTAGAACACTGAGCCAGTAACTTTGCTGCCTTCATGCCTTGGCCAACTATCTCTGTAATACCACCACTACTCTGAGCCTCCATAGATGAAACCTGTGAGACATTTATGGTTTCAAATGGTAGAGAATTTCTTAAATATAAACAAGATTATTTATCCTCTCTTGGTATCTGCTGAGACCAAGATTGATATTTCTACATATTCTGTTTTTTGAGAATCTGTTATCAACTAAATCATGCTAATACTGATGGCTTATTGACCAACAGTCATTGTAAAATCTTCAACAAGGAGCTTCAATTAATTATTATTTTATTGTATTTTATTAATTGAGTTTAATGCTTAGCTCAGTTACTATTTACCAACCAATATTTTATATCTAATAACCAACTAAAATGTTTCAGTATTTCAATAGTTGGTTACCTAGTGGATTTGCTTATAACCCATGTCTCCTGGCTTAAATTCTATTTGTTATATCACGTGGCCATCCTGTGAAGAAAACCTAACTGGTCAAGAATTTACTCAGTCTTTCTGTACCTTCAGTTACCTTTAAGTACTTTCATTACATTCAGCTTTCAGTTGACACCACTAAGGACTGCTGAAGAGTCATCCTTAAATCAACATGCATTTATTATACACTGACTTTATGCTCAGCAGTGTGCAAGCCATAACTTTCCATGATCCTCAGGATTCATGATAGAATCTTTATCACTGATAATGAATGAAAATTTCTCATCTGCCTCAAACACTTGTCTCTGGTTTGACTTGGTAAAATAGAAAAAAATGGCAGAGGGAAGGATTAGTCCTTCAACATGCCCCATTTTCCTATAAAGGTCTTTACAAATTAACATGTCTATTTATTTTTCCCAGACAGAAAGAGCCAACAGAAATACCCAACACCAGAAATGAAACAAAAAAATAAGATGACTATTTTCTGTCTTCAAACAGCCCATTTCCTGCTCCAGGGCCACAGTGGACTCTAACACAGAAGATCATTTAAATGTCCTCATGGCATGCCAGTCTCCACCAAAACATCGCCCCATTCCATGCACTCACAGCACTCCTCCTTGGAACTCAAAGCACGAAGAATGTAGTAGGAGGCAACCAAACATCAACTATTAATTGAGAGGAATACAGAGCACAAAACTGAAAGAATGGTACCCAAGTTAGGATCTGAGATACAACAGCTGAGCTTATTATGAGAAAGTAACAAGGCCCTGGGCTTGTTCAACCAATAATTCTTTGATTTTAAGGAGTTTTGATCATATTTTCTTTTGAAGGTATAAAGAAAAGCCCATGTACACGGAACTTTTGTGAGGGGAGGAGAGCAAGCATTTTCACAAACATATCCTTATGCTATGAAGAGGACAAAATGAAAGCACCCTTAAGAATGAAAATACAGCATGGAGCAACTGGAACTCGTGCATACTGCTGTGGGAGGGTAAAATGGTAAAGCACTTCAGAAAATTCTTCAGCATTATGCAGAATAGTATATCATACGCTACGCATGAACCGTAAGTTCCACTTCCAAGCATATACTCAAGGGAACCGAGTACATATCTTTACCAAAAGTTTTTTACAAGAATAATTATAGCAGCTTTGTTGGTAATGAGCCCAAACTAAAAATTATCCAAATTCCCATCTATGGTAGATTGGCAAAATAAAAATATTCAAACAAAGTAATATGCAGCAATGAAAATGAATAGATAACAACTGCATGCAACAGTAGGATGAATCTCATAAACAAAATGTTGAGTGAGAGAAGCCAGACACAGAGAGCATTTATGCATCATATAATTCCATTTACATAAAATACAAAAATGGACAAAACTAACCTATGTTGTCAGAAAGCAGGATAATGGCTACTTTGGAGGGGCGATGAGAAAAGCTACTGGAAGGGAGCATGAAGAGAGCTTCTGAAGTGCTGGTATAGTTCTGTTTCTCAATCCAAGTACTGTTTAGATGTGCTCAGTTTATAAAATTCTTGAAATTGAACACTTAAGCTGTGTATACTTTTCCGTGTTCATATTTGCGGCAAAATGAAAAAATGACTACAATTCTTCTTCAGTACCTGCATCCCAGACCTTTAACATCTAAGTTTTTGTGTTCTCCCAATCTGATGCTGAGTTTGGCCACATGAATTGCTTTGGCACATGAGATTTATTAAACATGATTTCAGCAGTGGCTTGAAAAATGTTTGAATGTTCCTGCTTCATCTCTTGTTCCTGTGCCATTTCCAGGAAAACATACCCAGGCTAGTCTGCTGGAGGACGAAACAGAGCACACCCACGTTGCCCCATTCATCAGTGCCACGGCCATCCTAGACAAGCCAATAGCCATCTGACTCCCAGTTACACTTGAGTGAATCAACATAGACCAGAGAACAGTCCAAACAAGCCCAGCTAGGAGTCAAATAAATGCTCATTTCAAGACACTGAGCTTTGGATAGGTTGTTAAGCAGCATATAGTGTAATAAATAATTATTCACTTCAATTCAAAGTTTAAATATGCAGGTAGTACAAAATAATCCCATAAATTTTGGCTCAAAATGTTCTCCTAACCTATCTATTTTGAGCATGGCCACACCCTAGGGAAAAGAGAACTTGCCTGAGATCCCATAGGACCAGGATCCCAAAAGTATAACAGGACATCCAGACAGCCAGAAACAACTGGTAAACCAACCTGAGAACTGAAGCCTTTCTCTAAGACATCTAAAAATTCTGTTCTGTTTTGCCCAGAAGATGCAAAAGCAAATGGGTACTTCTGCCACCTCTCATTTTTTAAAATGCCCTCTTACTTCACCCTACTCTATATAAGAAAATCCTTCACAATATTCAATAGGTTATAAATATTAAAATATATACATATAAAGCATATTAGTTTTTGTTCCTATTTTGGTCGTATTTCACCATAGAAATTTAAAAGAAGAGCTTTGTAGACCCTCTTGGCAGCTTTTAGACCCACCACTGAACATCAATGGGTTTAAACATTCAGCTGGTCTTCTAGCACAGAGCTGAGTAATAGCCATGTTACCTGGATTAACCTGAGCTTTTGCAGAACTCAAGACAGGCAGCAGCAGGAACAGCACCAAGAGCATTCTGGGAATCAGGATCATCTCAGAAGATGGGTTTGGAACTGGAGTCTGCCAATCAATAATGCAAGAAAACAGAAAGAAAAGGAGAGGAAATGAGTGAGGCAGATACTGCCAACATGAATGAATACAATTCTCACCGTTAATTTTGTGTTTCTGTAGTGTTTATTTCTATATATGGGACTTTGAATCATAGACTTTGGAAATTGAATGGCACATCCAATAATCACCTAATATAATAATTTTCAAACTCTATTAGATTGCACACTCATAAAATTTACATTAGCAAAAGTGTAGTGAGGCAACGAAGTTTTCCTAAGAGAAATACTTACCCAGCCAGGCGCAGCGGCTCCCACCTGTAATCCCAGGACTTTAGGAGGCTGAGGCAGGTGGATCACCTGAGGTCTGGAGTTCAAGACCAGCCTGGCCAACATGGTGAAACCCCATTTCTACTAAAAATACAAAAAATTAGCCAGGTGTGGTGGTGGATGCCTGTAATCTCAGCTAATTGGGAGGTTAAGACAGGAGAATCCCTTCAACCCAGGGCGGGGGCAGGGGGCAGAGGTTGTGGTGAGCCGAGATTGCGCCATTGCACTCCAGCTTGGGCAACAAGAGCAAAACTCCATCTCAAAAAAAAAAAAAAAAAGATAAATACTTACCCAAATGATGAATAATGGTAAAGTAAAACTTACATTTATCATGTAAACTGATGTTTTCATAATCTTACTATTTATTGTAATATTCAACCAAGAAAACCATTTGATACTTTTAATGTTTGCCTTTCAAAATATTTAAGTTTAATATTTATCCTGATTCATTATCTCTGGAGTGATACCTGGGATTCTGTATTTTCAGGTTTCCTCAGAATGATTCATATCATAATAGATCTGATTTGGAGACATCAGTAGGAACTCATGTTTAGCTTAATAAGGATACAAATAGTTACATATGGAAATATTTATAGGCATGTGTATATGCCTGAGTCGGTATACACACATATGTACCATCTGCTGAGAGGGCCTAGAAGCAATGGCATCCCTGTAGCAGTGAGCAAACCTAGTGTTCAGATCTTGATTTCTAATAACCATTCTTCAATAAAAGGAGCCAGGATTCCTCAGAAAAAAATGGCTGATTCTAGGACTGGAGCAGAATATATACAAGATGGACTCGGAGTACCTTTTAGTGCCAGACTGAAAAAATGTACACACAAAAAGATAATAGGAGTATGTGAAAGGGACACAGTTGCCAACTTAATGAGTTCCCCTCCCCCAAAAAAGTAGTATCAAATTATAAACCAAAGAGTAAACTAAATATTCATGAATCCATTATAAATTAATGATTAATTAAACAAATGGGAGAATAGGCATATTTCCTATTCAAAAGAATTCCAAATAATTTATGTAGATAATCTGCTCTTAAGGAAATTAAACATTACTATCTCCCTTCCCCAGCTCTTTAAGAGTAAGTTACACGTAGTTACTTTGTCTCAAGGATTGCAGCATGAAAACGGAGAAAGAAAAAAGTCACTTTTCAGTGGAGAAATCTGACAAACACTTCCTCAAGACAGGTGATCAAGGTTAACATCAACATTGATAAGTCATGTTGATAGTATGTGTCCTTGATATGATGTGATGAAATGACACTTTACCTCTGTGGCCTTCCTCCCCAAAACCTATTACCTCAGTCTATTTATGAAAAAATCACCAGACAAATCTTAATTGAGGGACATTCTATAAAGTTCCTGATGAGTAATTCTCAAAACTGTCAAAGTCATTAAAAACGAGAAAGTCTGAGAAACTCTCACAGCTAAGAGAGCCTAGGTAGACATGATGACTAAGTGTAATGCCACATGCTGGCAAAGGACATTAGCGGAAACCGAGGAAATCAAAGTAAAGCATGGACTTTAGTTAATAATAACGTATCCATATCAGTTCATTCATTTTGACAAATGTACTATGTTAATATAAGATGATAATAATAGGCTAAACTAGGTGTGGGATATGCATAGATTCCCTGCACCTATCTTCACAATAATTATGTAAATTTAAACTCTTCTAGAAGGCTGGGTGCAGTGGCTCACGCCTGCAATCCCAGCACTTTGGGAGACCGAGGTGGGCAGATCACCTGAGGTCAGGAGTTCAAGACCAGCCTGGCCATCATGCTAAAACCCCATCTCTGTTAAAAATACAAAAATTAGTCAGGCATGGTGGTGGGTGCCTGTAATCCCAGGTACTCAGGAGGCTGAGGCATGAGAATCACTTGAACCCAGGAAGTGGAGACGAAAGTGAGCTTGAGATTGTGCCACTGCACTTCAACCTGGGCAACAGGGCGAGATTCAGTCTCACACACACGAAAAAAGCTGTTCTAGAATACAAAGTTGATTTTTAAAAAATTCCCTCTAGGTAACACTAAGAATCAAGCAAGCATTGGATCCACTATTAGAAAGAGTATATAATACAAAATAATAAAGAGAGAAGAAATTCCCTTAAGCTGGAGTGATTAGGGAAGGCTTCATGGAGAAATATATATCTGACCTGGTTCTTGAAGGATGCACAAGACTTTAATTGGCAATAACAGGGATGAAATAAATAAGAGGATGACATGAGTAAGGCACTTTTTTTTTTCCAGAAAACAGAAGCTTTCTTAGACAATTTCTAAGCAGTATAATCCTGACACACCCAGAGTGGTTAAAAAAAAAGAGGCAATACAGTCAGATGGTTTTGTCTGAAGAGGATGGATCCAAAGCAAATAAGACACAGAAAATTTAAATGGTCCCATAGTTGGGGGCTGAGGGGTGCATGATCCACAACTACAAAGGATGATGGGAATAGTTTCATGGTATTGATTTGGATAAGATAAAACACATCTCAGTAATCCTAGTCACTTCCAGCAGCAGGAATACTATTTCCACAAATGAGTCCCTAAAAAAACGCCCAGAGAAAGAAACACACAGGTGAATCCTGGAGACATTGGTCCTGACTACAGTCGAGCACTAACCCCTGACCATAATCCAGGATGTCCTTCCCCAGAGACCTGAGCTCTTTGTAAGCAGCCATTCAGTAAGTGCTGAGGCCCAGGACTGCCCTGGCTCACCGCCCTCTCCTGGCAGTCTTTTGGGTAAGAGTCCTAGAATTGTCTCTCTCCTGTGGCACCTCTCTCATAGGTAACTGGCCTAACTTCTTCCCCTCCATAACTTTCCCTAATAATTCCTTCTACAAAGAATGTCTCCCACACCGCTTTTCCTTTCTTTCCTTCACCAAAACACAGGCTTAATTTACCTCTATTGGATCCTTCACAACATCGTAAAATTATCCACTTAATCATTAACTTCACAATGGCTTATTCTTACATTGCCAAAGTATTACTTTATATCGTGTACCAAATAGGTCCTCAAAAATGGGTTTTAACTGAGCTAAGCCAAACTATGAAGTGTTCAAAAAATGTTGATTAATTTTCTTTTTGAAACTGTTGCTGGGCTTCAAGCTGTGAACCTCCAAACGCGGCAACTATTTTTTTGCTTTGCTTAAAATTAGATGCACGTCAGCTAACAAACAGGGCACTGTAAAGTACGTAGAAGTATATACCTATATCATGTAGATCTACTGTGTATCAGAGATGATCTCACAATATTCACAGTAACTCTATGAGGTTTGTTTCAACAGTAAGAGAGCTAAGGAGAAAGAGATTAAAGCTTATCAAGTTGCACAGCTGACAGGCGACCAAACTCACATGTGAACCTAAGGTTTGCGTTACTTCAAAATCCACACGTTTTTTGTTGTTCTTCTTCGTTTTTGTTTTTGCTCATCATCACACTATGTCATCTTTCGGTCTGGGCGCCACCTACTTCACCAGAGCTGCCCTTCTCCTCATCCTTTCCACCTCAGACACACTGGGGCTTTTCTTGTCTTTTCTCTTCCATTTACTTTCGCCTAAGGACCTCTGCCAAGAAGTCTCTCTCCTCCCTTTGCCTAGTTCAAATCTCCATTAAACGGTCACTTGCTGAGTGAAATATTCTCGGATCCCCTTGATTGTTACATGCTCTAAAAACATAATTTTTTACATAGAAATGATCACAGTTTCTCATCACATATTCATTGCTGTCATTGTTTAACTTGTATCACCCCCAACACACACAAGCTCCATGTTTATTTTATTCACATTGTAGTCTCAACACTACCGGAATGCCTGATAAGTGTTTGTAGAATGAATTAATGATTGTCTTGAGCCATATATTCAGTGACTACATCTGGTCATTCTACATGCCATACCCTAAAAGTGATTGTGAGCAGAATCCCCCTTTTCTGCACTTTGAATGAGTCTTTCCAAGGGTTCAATATTTAAACAATATGACACGTGAAGAGAGCTCAAAAGCAAACAGGGAACTAGAAAAGCCTTCTCTGCCTACTTCTTTAGTTAGTAGTTCAAATCCCTTTGACAGTTTATTTAAGCCTTAAGGAATAAAACTCAAAATGCAAATACCACTGCTCAAGTCATTGGCCTTCATTCATTCATTTAGCAACTATTTTGTAAATATCTATTAGGTGCTATTACAGCTGATAAGCACATCAGTAAAAAGGGCAAAGAAGGTTCCTGCCAACATGAAACTTGTAGTACAAAAGCAAATGAGTAAATGAAGAAGAATTTTACAGAAATATATGTACAGGGAAGAAAATGAAGTAGAGTAATACAACACAAAGGAAATGAGAGCTATTCTAGGTAGCGTGGCCAGCAAAGGCCTCTCTGAGTATGCAATTGCTAGAGAAATACATAAGCAGAACATTGAGGAGAATGAACGACCCAGAAAAGACTCCTGAATAAATGGAAATGCACCGCACGAGGAAGGGGCCATTTCAACTTAGTAGTTTCAGATGCTTCAGTAGCCTTTTCAAAAGCAAATAAAGGTGTATCTACACCTCACAAAAATGAAGAGCCCAAATGTCATGATGGAACCGGAAGAATATTTCAAGGAAAATCTAGAACAATTTGCTGTGAGCTAGAGATAAGGAAGGTCTGCACAAATAAGACAGGGAAAGCAAAATCCAGAAACAAAA